CCATGCTCTCTGTTGTTCCTTAGATAGCTCCACACTACACGTACAACTGTGGTTTTACAGCATACCCTAAAATTAGGAGGGCAACTTCTTCAGTGTTCTTTACTAACTGCACTGCTATAACAGTTGAAGTCTTGCTCCCTCCATAAAACTGTTTTTTCCAACATAATATTTTCATTGATTATTTGGGAATTCCATACAGTGCGCTAACTTCCATTCCTCCTAGGTCCACTCTCCCAGCCTGTGCTCTCCCCAGAAAAAGAAAAGAAATACACCAAGTCCAATTTCTGTTGCCCATAAACTCATTGGAGCATGGTCAAACCCCCGGGGGGCTGTCCCTTAAAGATAACTGAATCCTTCCCCACGATTTTTAAAAATAAATATTTCCCATACAATATATTCTGCTTACCATTTTCCCTCATTTTGTCCTGACCTCTCACCCATCCAACTCCACACCACTCTTTATAAAGCAAACTGGAAAATTAAAAATAATATAAAAAATCAAACCAAACTAAAACAAAATAAACAGGAAAAACAGGAAAAGTAAAAGAAATATATGGATACATACATACATACATATATATATAGATATATATAGAGAGAAATATACGTGCATACACACAACCCATGAAAACACAAAATTAGAAGAAGTCATATAAAAGCAAAAGACTCACAAGGTGAAAACAAAACAAAACAAAAAGCCCAAAAACAACAAGGAAAAAATGCCCAAGCAAAGCATTATGAAACAAAACATCTCCAAAAATACCATTGTGTTTGTTTTGTGTTGGCCCTCTATTGCTGGGCATAGAGCTGCCCTTAAGTGTAGTTTGCATGTGCAGTGAGACTCCATGGAGAAAACTGATTTCTCCTCGCTGAGCAGTTACCAACTGGGTTAGAGAGGGGCTCATACCCACTCACCCTCTCCATGCTGGCACCTGTGCAGGCCCTGTGCATACTGCTACAGTCTGAGGTCATATGTGCATCAGTCCTGTCGTTTCCTTGGTGCCTTCCATTCCCACTGGCTCATACAGTCTTTTTGCCTCCTCTTCCACAGTGTTCCCTACACCCTGAGGGGAGAGGCTTGGTGAAGGAGTGTTCCAAGGTCTCTCACTCTGCCATTGCCTAGTTGTGGGTCTCCATATTAGCTCTCATCTATTATAGTAGGAAGCTTCTCTATTGATGGCTGAGCAAATAGTTAGGAGTCATTTTATTGCTAAGTTCTTTTAGCAGAGTAAATTTTGGGTTTCACCTAGGTCCTTGGCCTATCTAGTTTCAGGTTCGAGCATGGTTTCCATCTCATGGAGTGTTACTTACACCCAGTCAGAGTTGTTGCTTATTCCCACAGATTTTGTGCCACAATTGCAACAGTGCATCATGCAAACAGGTCGCCACTGTAGACCCCCAGGTTTGAAGCTAGGCTGGTGTGTAGCTTTCTGGTAGCATGCAGAGTGCCCTCCAGTATCATGAACACCAGTCAGTAGGGGTGAAAGCTCTAGTTAGACACCAGCTTGACTTCTTCGTGTTCTGTGAGATATGCACGTGTTGTCTTAAGCAACTGGGCCTTATCACAAGTTCGTGGACAGCAACCTGCAGCTTTGGCAATACCTGGAGTTGTCTGGAGGTCTCCTTGGGATCCCTTTGCCCAACAGTTTATTTAGATGGAGGCCATTTCTGGCACTAGCAGTTTCACTTGGTGATGAGAGATGTCTAGTTGGGGCTTTGTCACATCCAATTATTTGGTGATTCCAATTTAGATTGCTTTCATACATATACATACATACATACATATATACATTTTAATACTTGTCTACTCTATTAGGTTTCCATATGATCCCTCAAATGGCCCTTAGTAGTTTATAAACTGAATTCATTAATATGTGGTATAATTATGTATACAACCAATTTTAAATTTTTGGTAATTGTGGTAAGTACCTATCTCACTTATATACCTATTTTTTTGTATACCTGAGCTCATATAAAATTGTTTCACATAAAAGGGTCAAGAGTTGAAACACTTTATGAAGTCCTGTGTTACAGAAAGCCTGGGATTCTATAAGCAATTCAATAATTAATTCTGATGAGGGCTCAAAAACTAAAACACTGTTGGAAATACAACCGATTGGGTGTGTGGTGGTTCACTCTTATAATCCCAGGGCCCAGGAGACTGACGCAGGATGGTTGCCATTAGTTTAAGGCCAGCCTGGGCAACATTTTCTATACAATTGAATCACAATAATTCTGAGTCACTGGCTATGTGATCTGAATGCTAGAAATGTGGTAACCCTGGGGTTTCCTTAAAGCCTGAATCACATCCATGGTGTCCACTGCCAAACCTGCAGTGGGTACAGTACTGCCCTGAGGTTCTCTGAGGGTATCTATCCTGTTGGCTTCTATCCTGTTGACTTCTAGGGATGTTCTTCTTTGTGGCTGTTGGTCTTGGAGTTCATTGAGTTTCTTTCATTCATGGCTTCTCTTTGCCATCAAATTAGAAAAAGTTTACAACCTTAACATCACCCATGTTGTTTCCTTCCTTCCTCCTCTTCCCCCTGAGTTCCAAGCAAAGGCATGTAAGATTACTTGCCATGGATACGTGGGCAGCTGAGGCATTATTATTTTAGGTCAGCCTTGATAATTGGACATTTCTTTGTCCCAATGGCTGGGTAACTATGAAATCATCAGTTTCTAATTAGCAATTGATCCTAGCCAGAAATGGTTGAATTTTCCATGTTATATTTTTCAGTAGAACTGGATTATACTTTTATATCTCTGCTAAGATTCCTTTTAAAGAGGTATTAACTTTTCCTCTAAGTCCTCTAAAGTGTTTGAGGTCTGTTCTCGCAGTGAAATTTGTTTTTTTCTTAATTAAAGAAGTTTCTACAGTGTGTTTCTGAATGTGGGCTAAATGCATGCTAGTTCAGGTGCCCACAGAGGCCACTGAGTCTCTTGGAGCTGGAGTTACAGGTGGCTGCGGATGCTGGGAACCAAAGATGAGTCCTCTGCCAAAGCAGTATATGCTCTTTAACACCAAGCCATCTCTCTAGCTCCCTGGAAGTGGATTTGTTCACTGAACTTGATCATAGAATGACTTCTATTTATAGTTTTTTCTTCTGGTTTGGTCTTAAAATCTTAAATTGCAGACTTTCTGAAATCTAGGCTATTGTCTTGAGTTCGAGATGCTTTTAAAGTGGCTTTATATACTTTTAATTTTATTGTTTTGTGTCCATTTCATCAGCAAGAGGTTGTTTGATACCCATTATGCATGGACCGAGCAGAAGTGGCATCAGTATTTTCACAGCTCCTTGGTAATGTGTACTTCAGGTTAATAACTGCTCTAAAGATGGCCTTCTGTTGGCATTTATGGTTTAGTTATTTGCTAAAGGATGATGGTCCTGTATGTTTGTGGGATGTTTGGCAGCATCTTGGTATGTATCCACTAGATGCTAATAGTCCTTCCTCCCAGTTGTGGCAACCCAGATATTTTCAGAAATCGTTTTCTTCTGTGGTTAGCATAACTCTAGCTTGAAAGCCAGTACACTACCAATAGATTACATTGCCTTAAACCCTAGCTACACATGTAACCCAGCTGTGCCAGAGGTTTTGGTAACAGAGTTGCAGCCACGGTACACCCCAATCTGAGAGAGAGCTGTATTTTAACACAATCACTTCTTTGCCTTCTGTGTGGTTTGATAGATGTCTCCTTGGTTCCCAGTTGATGGTAGTTTGGGAAACGTGTGGATACTTGAGGAGGTGGAGTCTTGTTGGAGGAAGTGTTGTTCCTGACTAGTTTATATAACCAACTGCACAATGGTTCCTGGAAATCATTCCTTGGAAATTTATTTGGTAGTGTTTCTTTTCCTTGACATGCAAATGATTTTTTATCCTAGAAAAAAAGTCAACTTATTTTCTTTTAATACCTAAAACTGTCAGTAAAAAGTTATTCTCATCTGAATCTCAAATAATAATTGACTTCTACTTAATAAGAAAACACCTCTCCTAAGTGTATCTTTTGTTTGGTTTTGGCTTGGTTTGTAGCATTGTTTGAGACTGTGTAGCTCTAGCTGACCTATAACATGATATGTAAAGCACTCTGGCCTCAAACTCAGAAATCGTCTCAAGTTCTGGGATTATAGGCATGCACCACTGTGCCTTGCCTACCCATAACCATGCAAGAATCCTTTTAGACCTTTGAAAGTGACCGTGTGGGGGAGGGTTGAAGAAAAGTGGCAGTTCTGAGGGTGCAGCATGACAGATGAAGCTAACAGTGAAGACGATGATGTTCACCGGCTTTCTTAACAGCAAAGCTGTCTCTTTTAAATTACTTAGTAACGGGTGGTATGGAGAGGGCGTGTCAGACGTCACTAAACTAAAGCAGAAACAGAGCAACCTTGGACCTCCATCAGGTTAAGTAATGAGTGTCAACAGTAGTTCAGCTGTTTCTGTTTCAAGACATGTGACACAATCCGCCTGCTAGAGCGCTGTGGAGCCACATCGCTGCAAAATCACTCTCACTGTCCATGATGTGGCAAATGTCAAAAGCCATTTCAATGTCATACTTGCTTGCTGTGTTTTATTTAGCACTGTTACAGCGTACACAATAAATGCCTGGCTAACTCAAATCTAACAAAATATATTTCTTTCATAGGAAAACTCAAGGAGAAGAAATATATATGAGTATTCAGATTTTCAGAGTGACATGCACAGTCTTCAACAGACACCTAGCTATATGGATTTCCAGGCTTCCTATTGTAAGCCCTATCCGGATCCCACCATTAGAGATACAATTGGAAAGTCAAGGTGTTCAGCTCAGTACAAATATATTTCAACCGGTGATGTTGGTGTCACAGACTTGGGAAGTCCTCCAAGACTTTGGCCTGCATCTTTCCCAGTGACACTGAGTGAAGACATGAAGGCAGATGTGTATAACTATGGACTCACTATATTGTGCCTGTTGATACTAGTTTGTCTCGCTTTGTATTTTCTCTGAAATCAAATAAATCGGTTTGTTGCTTTTTTAAAAAAAAATTTATTAGGATTTCTTCTCTTCACAGGTGTGCCTCATTCTTCAGGGTTTTCTCACAGACATTCTCAAGGTAATCGGCTTTAAAAGGAAAGAGAGAGAATATATTTTACCAAAATTTTGGGCATATTCTTAAGAATTAAAATATCATTTTAATTTACTATTAGCTTTTTATTAGAAATTCTTTTACCATAAACTTTAATACTTTTCTGAAGATTACCATGAAATCCAGGAGACATAAATCTTTTTGATCAAAGACAATTTGAAAATTGATATATATAAGGATAGCTTATCTCACAAGAAACTACCACCGTATCATTAAATTAAGAACAACATGTTTTAAAAGCTTTTAGTTAATCTAATACACAACATATCCAAGCTCTGTAACAGTTCCCCTGAGGCAGGCACACTGTATGAAATGAGACGGACAACTGGTTTACCTTGCTGCAATAGGGACATTCACCAAAGAAGATGTTGAAGCTCTGTCTGCTGGTGCTCAGTCCCCTCAGCCACTGCATGGAAGAAAGTGAGGGACAGTGTCAGTGTACACATGCACTGTTTTATGAAAGGGAAACCTTGTCTGAGCCCATGCTCAATTATTATATTATTGAATAATTGAGAAATCAATATAGTGGGATATAAACTTCTAGTTTATGAGCAAATTATGGGCCCTTTAGAATGTGGCTGACAATTATACATGTTACACGCAAAACAGACACACAGAGACCCCCACAAGTTCCTGTGGTTCACATACCCAAGCCAGTTAAACACATATCAATAGCTTCTCTGTAAAACGTATCTTAGGATTTTGAGATTCTGATATTCAACAATGGGTTAATTTTCATTGCAATGAGATTACAAACAAGAGGCAATACTTTTAGAAAATTAAAGTGAACATTCACTATTACCAAAGAAAGTATAGATTCCATTAGAATGAAAACTAATGGCACTTTCCCTGTTAGGTGCTTTGCATGGGGATAGTTCATCATAAGAGCTGTGTCCTAACAGGAATACAGGAATACTACAGGACTTAAATGCCTGAGGATGAAAGCACAATTCATGTAGAAAAGCTAAACAAAAAGCCAAGAGATGCTCAGGTCACAAAAACCTTTGAATATTCAAAAGAGGATTACTGCATTCTATACTTGCAGATAGCCAGTAAAGTAGTATATACTACTTATTTACTAACTTCCTTACTCCATTCCTACCATCACCCTCATCTGGCAGATCTAGAGTTTGCATGGTGGTGGCAGACAAGGAAGCTTTCAGTTATACCTGCCACCAATTTATTAATTTGTCAATATGCTACTCGTGCGTATATTATAGATTGCTTTTCTTCCTGGGATTATCTAGCACACTCAATAGTATCCAAGATGAAGAAATGAAGGCTGTGAGAATGCAAAATTAACTAGTAATTGGAGTTCATTGCAAAGGAGGGAAATACATTACCAAACAGAATTTAGATACTATATTTTATATGTATATGACTGCTAGTTTTACCTCATATAAGCATATTTGATGGAAAGGCTGTCCACACTGGGGGTTATCACATACTTGATCAGGAATGGCACCATTAAGATGACGGGCATAACAGATTCCACAGTCCATGCTAAAGTCCTTCAAAAGAAAACTTTGTTAACATGTTTGTTTAATGTGCATATGGTACAATTAGGATGAACAAATGTGACTACTTAATGTTTGCTTTTATTCCACATGCAGGGATACTCTCTCAGCCTAGACACATGGGGGAGGGTCTAGACCCTGCTCCAAATGATATGTCAGACTTTGAAGATTCCCCCATGGAAGGCCTCACCCTCCCTGGGGAGCAGAAAAGCGATGGGATATACTCAACTACATATAGATTTCACTTTTGGTGGGTAAAATTTTTGCATTTTAGCAGTTTTTCAATATACATAATCATGTCTGTGTATACACAAAGACAGATCTGATATCAGCTAGTGAACACCAAATTGCACAATTCTACAGCAAAAGAAAAACTGATGCCATCATTTGGTTTTAACAACAGTGGCTCAGTCCAAAGTCAATCCTACCTTCATTACCTTTACAGTACCAATGGTGCTGCTCACTGTTGAAAAACTACTGCTGTCCTTCACAAACTTACAGCAAGCTAATTAAAACTTTACGGTAGTCATCTCTAAGCACACAGTACAAAAAAAAAAAAAACCTCAAACATCTCATTAGTATCTCTTCTTTCCTTTGTAGTTTTGATAAGTGCAGCTGTCAGTAACCACTTGCTGATGAAGATGGTGAACCCATGTAACTTGCCTGGTGGGGGTCAGCAAGTTCATTGATATAAATGTTACCTGTAACAGATCTGTATTTCAATATTTCTCCAATTTTTTTCTTTCTCATTCTAGTTTTTCTAAGAGAAGCACTTAAATCTTATTATTCACAAAATGGAGACAATTAAAGCAATAATTAAACTTACAGATTCTTCCAAAACAGCACGAGCTGGGAAATCAATTTCTAAAACATCTTTCAAATTTTGTAAGAGACTACTTTCTGGATCCCTGAAAACACAGAGAAAAAAATTCCCTAGAAAGTGTGTTATGTCATAAAATGGTACCAATTACATTGCCACGGTACCTACCATAAGTGTATGTTCCCACTAAGCTTGACTCCTAGGGGTTTTACCACTTTGAACATTAAAAAAAGGAAAAGAGTTAATAATTGAGACTTGGCTGCTCTTGTTTAAAAGAGCTACAGTATTTCCTTAGCATTTGGCTTAAAATCTAAATTACATATTTAGTTATAATGTATACAGTTCAGAATGAGAAATATATTTAAAACACTTGTAATATTAGTATTGTGGAATATTTAACAATGTTAGACAGGATTTCATGAATCTGTTCCAGATCCGTAACTTCAAGATCTCATACCATGGTCAGCTCCAAGAAAGCAAAACTCAGGAAGCATGGTAGGGTGCCTGGGGTCTACCTCTATGTGGATGGAAACATTATGCCCTGGAATGGAAGAAGAAGGCGGCTTGTAGTTGTCGGCAGAGCACCAACCAAATTAACAGAAGAAACTCAGAGCATGCTGACCTGGCCACCTATTTTACTCTTCAGAACAACTAGCCAAATGTTTTTTGCTTGTTTGTTTTTACTTTTTTAGTGTTGTGTAGAGGTAAACATATCATTGTTTAACACTGAGAAGTATTTTTGAAATTATGATTATAATTAAAGAATCAGGAACCTCAAGTTTCAAAAGACCAAAATTTATATGATTAACTTAAACTGGTATTCTGGTAATTATGTTGCAATAAAGTTTAATAAAAAATTTTAGTTGAATTTTAAAGGACTTGTATAAGAAAATCATACACTTAGGTAATGAGCTAAATTACTTTTCATAATTTTCTTTACAAACTTAATATTTCACATGGTCAAAAGTAAAAGCTAGAGTTACAACTGGTAAAAATTGACATGTCTAAGAAAACACATAAAAACCTTGTGAATATTTATGCTTTACAAAAAGTTGAGACTTTTCCTTGTAAGTGTTTAATTCACGTTCAACAGATGTTTCTCTTACTTAGCACCCCAAAGAAGGTATTTTTGCAGCTAGGAAAAATGACTTCACTTAGCACTAGATCCTTTTACAGGGTTAACTACTGAGTATGCACAAATGCTGCAAAGCCGCTTACTAGCTGGTAAATGTCTGTGCTAAATTCTATAAGCCTTTTGCTAAAGTTGGCAATATTAAATTTAAATCACAAATCTGGCAAAAAATGGTCAAAATAAAAAAGCAATATATGATCTAGCCATTCAACAAGAAAAATTAAAATTGCCCACTCCATTTGTCAGTACAGCACACACTTTTCATTAGCCTTGGGCAACGTTGTCTACTATAGACCGGAATGTGCTGTCTCTTAGGCAGTGGCCGTAGGAACACATCTTTCAACTCAAAGGTTGGCCTGAAGACAGCAAATCATTGCCTGAAGCAGGAAGTAGAGCTAAAAGTAAATACAGAGCATGAATACAACTTGACTATTTGAGTTGAATTAGAAGAAATCTAATAGAAAGCATGGTTCAAGGACAATTATTTTAATTGGGCCATGATGATAATAAACCATGACAAATATAATTGATTGCTTATCCTGAATTAAATACTATTAGACTTCCTAAAACTGGAAAGTAACACTACTGCTAGTAAAGTTCTGCAGTTACTATACTCTGCAGCCCTGACCCCCTACTATGCTATATAGAAAGTAGAGAAGCTGCTCACTGACTTCAGTCAGATTCACATAACTTTTGAAATGTCTATTGGAATATATCCTTCACAGTAGCATTTAACAGGTGTGATGATATCTTACTTGTACAAATAAAGCCTGTCTGAAGGTCAGAGAATGGAGTTTAGTTAACCATAGAGGTCTGGAGGTCTGTATAGACAGACAGGAAGTGAGGTAGCTAGGTAGAAACAGGATATAAGCAGGGAGAAACAGGAACTCGCTCTCTTGTCTGCGGAGATGCTAAGGAGGTAAGGTATACAGTGGCTTGCTCCTTCTCTGATCTTTCAGCATTTCCCTCTACATCTGACTCTGGGTTTTTATTATTTTATTATTTAGACCAATTAAGAACTCCATTTACAAAGAAGACTATAAGCAGATATTACCATAATGTGGTAAGAAATATACTTTTAAAAATTAAAATCTTTACAAAGATTGAACTCTAAAAAAGGCTTTGTTTTGTTTGCTGATAAAGAAAAAGCCATCTAATGAGGGTAAAGACTGTGGGAACTGCACACATCTCCTGTACTTACAGTAAAGAAGGTACCCATGATCTCAGGGCTCACTTGGAGGCTTACCTCCATTTATTCTCAGCAGCAGGACCCAATTCAGTGTCCTCCCCTCTATGTTTTGTCAGAAAGTATTGCCAGATCTTGACTTCCACAGAAGATTAAGACTTCACTACTTACACAGGCTTCTGTTCTACATAGCATATGCTTTGAATTATCTGCCCCACAATGTCTGTGTTAACTAACATTAATTAAAACACTCTCTGAATGTGGCTTCCTTTGGAGCGTCACCTTTAGAAACACCTTAGCACTTACCCTTTCCATCTAAAGCATCTACGTTTAACCATGCAGCAATAAAAATCAGGTTTTACTTCCAACAGTTTCAATACCTGACTCGATATGAAAAAGTTTCATCTAAGACTTTACTGTCATTTTCAAACTCATTTTTGCAAATGATATAAAATAAAATCAGACACTTGAAAACATTCTCATCTTCCTTCCCTACCTAATGCGATCCTGCGTGCCGTCGCACTCCGGGGAGGTTTTTCTGGTTCCAGCACCCAGGTCTTCTCATCAATTTCATCCATAGCATCCCAGAATGCCTTCAGCGACTCCAATGCTGCCAAGAACTGAGCATGCACATCTACCAAGGAGCTCTGTGAAAAGACAGGGACTGAAGTTCATTGCTCTACAAACAGCAGAGCAGTTTCCCCTCAAAACACACTCCACTCAGGCCTTGAAGCTATCACCTCACCCAGAATGTGGACCAACAGAATCAGTGTTCCCTGCTGTACATCTCTGCACCCCAATTACTATTAGCATGGTCTTTGCCACTAGTCTACACAGTAGCAAGTATGGTCTTTATATAACCACATGATGCATGTTATGTATATGAACAGAAATCACACAAAGTTCTATGTATACAAATAAACTTGATGTTTATCTTCTATAATGCATAGAGCATATACCTATAATTTTACTCAAAATTATTCTTTTTTTGCTACAAAATGAAATTAAATATAGTGGTATTTAAAACTGGCCTAGATTATCTTTAAACAGTATCAATTTACCAAGTTTTACAGACCTGATTAGTACAAAAGTATGAAAATGCTCTTTTGTTGCTGCTGTTTTACTTGTTTTTTCTTCTGCTAGGGATTAAACCCATGACACAGTACATGCTAGGCAAGTGCTGTGCCCCAAACTTTATCTCCAACCAAGCTTTGCATTTCCTTACATTTCACTAAATAAGCCATTATTGATTTTAAAATATAATTTATAATTTTCTTTTAGAAAAGGAAAACATTTCCCAAAAAATACTGTGATTTTTTTTGTTTTACATTTTTTATTCATTTTACATATCAACCACGGTTCCCCCTCCTTCTCCTCCTCGTGTTCCTACCCCACCCCCCATCCACTCCTCAGAAAGGGTAAGGACTCCCATGGGGAGTAAACAAAGCCTGGCATATCAAGTTGAGGCAGGACCAAGCCCCTCCCCCCTGCACCAAGGCTGAGCAGGACATCCCACCAGAGGGAATGGGCTTCAAAAAGACAGTTTATGCACCAGGGATAAACCTGGTCCCACTGCCAGTGGCCCCACAAACAGACCCAGCCACACATCTACTACCCACATCCAGAGGGCCTACTGCTGCCCAGTCCAGAGTCTGTGAGCCTCCAGGAGCTTGGGTCAACTGTGTGTGTGTTTCCTTACCAAGATACAACTATTTGCTAAAAGTGTTTTTTTTTTCTTTGATACAGGGTTTTTCTGTGTAGCTTTGTAGATCAGACTGGCCTAAAACTCACAGAGATCTGCCTGCCTCTGCTCTCCCCCACCCCCCAGTGCTGGGATTAAAGGCATGTGCCACCACCACCTGGCCTAAATAAACACTTGTAAAATGAGAAAACATCAATTTGAGAAAAAAAGCACAAATAACCTTCAGACCAGTTGTAAATCAAAGAAAGTGAGCCTTAAATTCTGAAAACCATTATGAGACATCACTACAAAGCCTTTCAGAGTTAAGTGCTTCAAGGGTAGTTACACACTCAAGCCAGACAAAGAGGGGGACATCTCTGTTAGCAACCTCAGGAATCACAGAAGATTGGAGTAAAACAATCCCATCAAAATGCAAAAAACAGATTCTCAGTTGTTCAATTTGATTGTTAAATCACACACAAACCCTAAGTTTGAAACTATACAATTTAAATACTTAGTTACTCCTATATGTTAGGAATCATATTTATACAGATATGCCAAAAAATAGTGTGGCCAAAGTTAAAGTCAAAACTCATTAAATATTACAAGAGCAATAAAATATCTTTTTTTAATTAAAAAAAGCCAACTCTTCATTTTGTAATGTGAGCAAGTTTAGATGTGATTGTTATAGTTAATATAATGATATTTTGATCGAGTCTATCCACTAGAAACATGCAATATAAAATGAAAACTCAAGTCAAAAACAAGTGAGAGCATATCAGTAAAAGCTACACTAAGATGAAACAAACCCAAAACCCACTGCTTAAGGACATACATCAACATGAACTCATGGGCTGAGGGTGTGTGTGTAGAAGTCATACCCTTTGAAATGATGTGAAATCTCATCTATTTACAAACTAAAGATAACCCTAGCTGATGATCTAGCAATTCCATTGCAAATACACAATTACCCGGTTATAAGAATGCCTACTGCAGCCATGATCACAAAAGCCCCAAACCTGTAAAAGTCCAGATGCCCTGCCAAAGAAGACAAGAGAAAACTAACAGGAAATAATTGTTAATCTTCACCATCATATTCATCAATTTCAAAACCACACTGGGGGGGAACAAAGTCTATACAAAAGCATGTCCTGTGTCTATTAAAATGACATTTAAGACAAGTTCAACGAAGTTAAAACCTATCAAGGTGATGAGAATAAAGTGGTACCTGCCAGGACTCTGTCATTGCAGGAAACTTTTTTCCAAATTGTACTGTACTTAAATATAAATAAAATGAACTGCCTGATATCAGAATCTAGACGTCTGAACCAACACCAACTACTGAATCATGTTTATTGGTGTAATATAATCCCTTGTGCACAAGAAGACAAAATTATATCAAAACTCTTAGATTATCTTAAGGGTCTTGGTGAGGATCTGGTGTGGTTTTAGTAAGACAGACAGCACAGAGGTCATCTAAACTATTAGCCATCTCCAGTCCTGTTTGTGGGAGCCTGGGGGAGCCCTGTTTGCAGAGACTCACACCCACTTCCTCTGCCTCATGCAGTATATAAGGAGTTAGCAAAGAGCTGTTGGTATAGCCCCATCAGAGTTTATGGCCCATGCAATCCCACGCCACCCCAGTTAGGTCAATCCATAAACTGGACAGTCCAAGGCAAAACACTTCCTTAGGCTGCTTTTAGTCAGACTGTTTTAACACAGCATCAGAAAAAGTAACAAATACAGAAATTGATACCAGAACTGGCTGCTGTGATAGAGGGCTACGAGAGGGTTAATCTTAGAGACATGCAGATAATGAAGACCTGACTGAAGTTTCAGAGGAAAGCTAAGAGTCTACAGGGCTACTTGTGAGATACTTTGTTTTAAGAATCTGTGGCTGCTGGTCAATTGAAACTGAAAAACAACCTTTCATAACAGGAACTGAACTGAAGCCTGTGCTTTATTAGGATGAAGGATGCTAGTTAGCTAGGTCTGAAAAATGAGCTATGGTTAATGAGAGGTGAGTCATCATTGATGTCAGGGTCAGGAACAGAAGCTACAGTCATGAGAGGGTTGCAAAGCTGCATCTCAAGTTGGCAATGTGTAAGTCATACACCTGATATTGGTATTGGAGGCGTGAGAGGAAAGCAAGTAAGGTGTTATGGAGAGTGGCTGAGGGTCAGTGTCTCTGAAGAGGCCAATGGTTAGGGAACAGCCTCTGCTGTAGTGGAGAAGCCAGGGCACTGGAGATGTCAAGACCATGGGATGCCCACCAGGGACAGTGGCAAGTATGACGCAGATGTGTCCTAAGCCCACAAGACAAGCTGTGTGTGTTTGGATGGCAGTCCTGAGGAGATGGCCACGGAAAACCTTTGAAAGCCATCTTGAGGCTCACGACATGGAGCTGCAGAATCTGGATTTACATTGCTGGGTTTGCTTTGCTTTGCTCTATGTCGCAGCACATCCCTTTTGGAATAACAAGTGTGACTTGTTTTCAATTTTATAGAAGGCCACAGCTGAGAGACTGTGGACTTTTAACCAGACAACAAGTGTCTAAAGCACTGAAATTTTTCTAAATAGTGGAACTTCTAAATGTTTACTGTATTTTAATATTATTGTATTAACATGAGATACTAGGGGGAGCACATAAGAAGGGAAAGGTTAGGGTTTAATGGTGATGTGTTTGTCAATTTAACAAAGGATGAGCTGTCCTGGTTCACTTTTACTGTCAACTTGTCACAACATAGGTCACCTGAGATGAGGGACTCTCAACTGAAGAACTACTTCTACCACAGTGGCCTGTGTGCATGTATATAGGGAATTTTGTTATTTGCTAATTGATACAGCAAATAGGAAGGCCTGGCCTACTGGGGGTGGTCTATCCCTAGACTAGTGGGTGTGAACTATGTAAGACAGCATGGAACATGAGCCAAAGAGCAAGTCAGCAGCTTTCCTCCATGTGGTAACATATTGTTTATGATCTAATAAAGCTTGCCTGGAAATCAGAATGAAAAGCTAGCCACAGCCACAGAAGCTGGGCAATGATGGCACACATCTCTAAACCCAGGATACAGGAGACAAAGGCAGATAGATCTCTGAATTCAAGGCCACCCTGGACTACATTAGAGTAAATCAGTCCAAAAGAGAAACAGAGCTAATGCCTTTAATCCCAGCACTTGAGAGAACATAGTGCAGTCTCCAGAGCAGTCTGAGAATTGCTGAAGAGCAATGGAGTGTGGAAATGCAGTCTGAGGTTTGGTGGATCGCCCCTCCTGGCTGAGCACTGGTAGAGGTGAGAGCTCTCTGGTGGCTTGGCCACTTTGCTTCTTTGATCTTCAGTTTGAACCCCAATATCTGCCTCTGAGTTTTTATTACTTGTGCTACTCCTCCACGTTTCTCACCACTGTTCTGACTACTATCAATGATGTACAACCTAGAAGATGAAATAAGCCCTTTCTTCCCCAATTGCTTTTGGTCAAGCAACAGAAAGCAAACAAGGCCACCTACACTTACAGCTGCTTACATATAAATATGTACACTATGGGTTACGATCTTGTTTGTGTCCTTCCTGAATTTGGGTGCCCTCACTTAATGTGAAAGTTCTAAGACCATCAACCTTCGTGCAAATTTCATGATTTCACTTCTCCTTACCACTGAATAACATTCTATTTTCTCTGTAAACTTTCATATTTTCATTATCTATTTATCTGTAGGTGGACATGTAGGTTGGTTTCTTTTTATTGCTACTATAAGTACAGCAGCAATAAACATAGATGTGTAGTTATTTCTACAGTAGGCTATGGGCTTGTCTAGGTAAATCCTAGGAATGAAATATCTAGGTTATATCGGATTTTATTTTTAATTTTTTGTAGGAACTCCAAATTGATTTCCATAGTAGCTGTACTAATTTGCACTCCCATCAGCAGTTGATAAAGGCTATTCTTTCCCACATTCTCCTAACATCTG